TGGCTGGGAGAACGTGCGAGAGGCACGGTGATGTCTGGTGGCTTACTGGGGTTAAGGAGGTGGGCACCACGGTAAAACCACCGTGTGCCAGGGGCTGATAAAAGTCTGCTGAAGAGAAAAGGTGCTGTTGTAGCTGGACAGCCAGATGGATACTGAAATGTCTGAAAGAGATAGTTCTGAAATGTAAGGGGCAGAACGGTGTGATTTCCTCCCACCCCCTCCGCGCTGTTTCTAGTGTGGATTTTTGGCGGCTGCTGCTGTCGTGTTTGTCTGTAGGCTCGTGGGAACTGAAGAAAGGCCCATGAATAACATTCCAGATCCCAAAGCCTCATTCAGATGACGACTTCTGTTTTCTGCTGTGCTGGAAAAAGGGCCCAGATACTGAACAAGCCTCAAACTGGAATGTATCTACTTGAGAATTATTATTTTTAAAACAGCAACAGTAATGACTTTTTAACAATATTAAATTCTGTCAATACAGGAAGTGTCCTGTGAGAGCATGATGCGATAATCACAGTTTTCTTTGCTTTAAATTTCTTACTCCACAAAGTTTGGGTGTGATTTATTGCAGGCGAATTGTTATGAGAATACTGAATGAGCTATTTCTGTTCAGGACGGTTTTGAATGCTTGTTTAAAGCTTGATTCGTGTTTTGCCCATTTAAAGGATCAGGAAAAAAGATAACTTGGTTTGGTTTACTTTCTGAAATATTTTTGATTTACAGATGGAGCTAATCCAGGTAGCTGGATTTTCCCTATGCAAATTGATTTTGATTATTGATTATTCTACATATGCATTATCTTTTTGGGAAGTAATTGTAAATTGGAATATTAATAAACTTAGTTGCTGTTCTATAAATTTTTATAAAAAGCCCAAAGAGAACTCACTGGATATTTATATTTACTCTTTATCTTAATTTTAAAATTTCTTTGACTTGTTGTTAGCTTTTTCCATACTCATGGAAGCAGCAGCAAGGAAAGGCAGTGGAACTTGGTAAGAACAAGAAATTTATTTATGAAAACTGCAGGTGTGATGCAAGCAGATACAGTAATTTTTAATCGATGCAGCTTAGAATCACTTTCTGGAGTAAATAATGCCCTCTAAAATGTGTTGGGGTTAATTGTGTATGTGAAAACTTTGCAGCTGAAAAACTGCTATTAAATAGTCTGTTCACTTGATTGCACCAAGTCATTTAATGTAGTAAGTATACAATATTTAACTTAGAAAAGGGGAGTTCAGGTGTTTACCATAAATAATTATACGGTATGTTTGAGTCTGAACGTGTTGTGTTCTTACGTGTTGCTGATCCCTGGTGGGTCATCGCTGGTACGCTGAACTGTTTCCGAAAGGCCTTATCGAACGCTCTGCTAGCTCAGACCTCCTCTGTGAGCGTGTAACAGGGCGATTGGCTTTGTTGAAATGTTTCTCCTTTTGCTTGGGCTTTCTTCAGCAGGATCCCGCTATGATTCAGTAGGAACGTTGCTGACCGCAGTAGTCACGCTCGCGATTGCACAACGGCCGTAAATACCGGGGGTTTGCACGCTCTTCTGGTGTGTTTTTAGAGTCACTGCATCTGCTGTTCACTTCTGTGTTGTGTCTCTTGGTCTGGGAAAACCTTCGCCTCTCTGTGTGCTGCAAAAGTCTCAGTAAATTTCAATTTGAATGATTTGGAAAGGTGGTAATACAGAATAGGGTCAAAACAGAGGTTTGATACTGCAAACAGCAAGGTAGATTCTTTAGCTTTAAAGAGAGCTTGTTTCAGAGAGCAGCTGGTTATGGTTTCGCTTTGGCTCAAAGTGTAGGGGATACGAACGATGTGGTACGGAACAAAGCACAGCAGGTAGGCTGCAGTTACCAGCAGTATGTTGACCAGGGCTTTCTTCACGTTTGTGTAACTCTCGCTGTATTTGTTTCGGTGGAGTTGTCTGACAGCGAGGAAGTTGGAAATCAGTATCACAGCTGAAAAATTCAGGAATATTGCTGTGCATATGAAGTTGGTAAAGACGTGCCAGTCTCTTCCAAATTTTGTTTTGAAATCAATGCATCCTGCCCCAGGTCTTTCTTCAATGGATTTTATTGGAATAGCCATGTTTGGCACTGTTATAAGGAGAACCATTGCCCATACGACTGCAGAGAGCACCTTGGCGAATCCAGGCTCTTGAATGCGGTAGATCTTACAACTGTGTGTGAGTTGAAGGCAACGGTCCATGCTTACAAATCCCAAGAATATAATTGATAAATACATGTTCAGGTAGATGAAACAGGCTGTAACTTGACAGTGGAATATTCTCAGTTTCCACGATGCAACTCCCAGGTCAACAACAATCTTCACTGGCAACGCCAAAGTCAACAAAAAATCCGCTGTCAAGAGGTTAATTAAGTAGATGCTCATACACTTCTGTTTCTGACCTTTTTGCGTGAATGCCCATAGTGCGAAACAGCTTCCAATAAATCCCGTAAGAAAAATCAAGTAGTAAAAATAGGTAAAAGGTTCCATTTCTTCACGGACATGGCATTGTGAAACATTGCCTGGCATTGTAAACTTCTTGCTCAAGTTGATTTTGCTGCTAGGAGATATCAAGAACCTAAAAAAAACCCAAGACGACGTGAGTGACATCAGCTTTTCCTGAGCAACAGTAGTTACTCTCTGAGAATTTTGTTTGATTAATTTCATAGACAAAATGCAATTGGGAAGAAATATTTTTCTCTCTCTTCATGCTGCTTCACAGATATTCGAGTGGGCTTTGTTCTCCTGTCAGGAAAGTTTGGAAATGTGTTGGGATTTGTTTCTGAAAGCATGTAGACTGCTGAGACACTTCTCTACCAGACCAGTCTTTCTGAGTAAGTGCTTGGTTCGAGTCCAGCTGCCCAGCCAACCAACCGAAACACCAGAGAAAGGTCTGAATCTGTTTAAGCTTCTAGTTGATAGTGGTCATACTAAAACGTCATAACTTTTGAATAGTTGAAACTATGCCTAAAAAAGGGTAATATTTGTAGCAGTCTTGTTCTGTAGAGGTGTATTAGGAGTTTTGAAGTTAATTCACCGTCAAACCGGTATGCGGATGTGTTGGATAGATGAGCAAATAGTTCTAATCAGTCAGAAGTTTTTTGCAAACTGTTCTCTCTTCCTACTTGGAACAGAGGATACATTAATCGCATATTTTAAGCCTTCAGAAAAAGCACATTTTGAAAGAAGCAGCTATTAAATAGTTCTTCTCATGTCCTTTTTAGACTTTGCTATATATATAGAAATTATAGGGGAGAAAAGTAGAAAATTTTGGTCTTATTTTAACTAAATATACTACTCCGTGACCAAGGGTGTGTTGTTTGGGGTTTTTTTTGGGGTGTTTTTTTTTCTTTTGCTACGCTGTCAGGCAGCTGCATAGAATGTCTGTGGGAAAGGAGATGTGTTGGTTAGACTCTCTTGGAATGTAAAACAATGAATAGTATCAGACTGCAAAACTTTTATTTCATTATATTGTTCCTAATTTTAATATACAATGTAAGCGAAAGGACTGCGTTTGCACACTTACTTTCTGCTGTGAAGTATGCATTCGCATGTGCGTAATTTGTAAACCGAAATGGCTGCAGATACTGCAGTGGTTTAAAATGGGGGAAACCCCAGTTTGTTCTTGCAGTTGGCTCTCTGGAGGTGGTCCCTCTTGTCCTGAAACCGTGTGACTCTGTTGAATTCAGTTTGGGGTCTGCGCAGCGTGGCTGCGGAGCGAGCAGGGCTGCGGGAGCTGCTGGGCTTGCCTCCGCGGTCCCGAGGCGGTGGGAGCCGCGGGGCGAAGGGCGGCCCGGCAAGCCGAGCCCTGGGAGGCTGCGGGAGCCTCCGGGGGTGCAGCGTGGCCGCAGCCAAGCGGCACTGCCCACAGGCAAAGCAGAGGCTGTTGTGCAGAATACCCGAGCCTGGCGCTCTGTGGGTCTGGCACAGCTATTGATCCAGGCGGTGCGTTTACGTGGATCTAGACAGGCTGGAACAGAGGAGGACTAAAAGCACGTACCTGTCTTAGTGCCCTCTGGGGTCTTCTCAGCGTTAGTCGGCGAAGGTCTGATGTCTCTCGGCGACCTCTCGCAGTCCGCTAGCTTGTTGATCTTTTCCTCTGGCTGCGCCTGCTGGTTTTTTTAAAATGGGTCTGTGGTTTTTAAAGGTGCTGATTGACGCAGTTAAAACCAGCATTCAAGTAACTAAACGACGTGGAACATAGCT